TGTTCAGCACTTGAACAAGAGTGAGTTTGGAAAATGACTGAGGTAGACGGAAGTAGACGTGGTTTACACACTGGAATCCGCCATCCCAGCGGTTAAACAGGGCGCGAGCACGAACGCGACGAAGAGGGAGAGAGAAAGGAAGAGGCGAATGCTCACCACGAGGATCAATGACAAGGAACAACATTAACACTCGGAAAGAGGGATAAATTAAATCTAAGCAAATCTGTACACAAAATGTGAGATCCACAAAAGATTACAATGAAGGAAAAGAAAACACAAGAAATTGAAATGCCTGATTAGATAGAGACTTACTAAAAGCGTGGATTGTCCCGACACGGGAACAGCGGGGGGCAGACCGTTAGGAGCAGAGACAAGCGCATCGATCACTGATCAGATACTTCTGTACTTGCCAGTAACAATGATATCCGTTGGCAGTGACACTCAATCGTTTGATCAGGCGTCTGGCTCGGCGTTTACGTCTCTCCTCACGTGTGATCTCATCCACCGGCTCTTTTGTGTCCGCTCGTGTCTGCGGAGCGTCGGAAGGCCATCGGGGAGCACGCAGTTGAACTCGCATCATCTGATGCCCGGACAGGGGGATCATGTTGTGCGTATCGCGCAGACTGAGCCGAGACAAAGTGCCCGTTTCGACTCGGGGCAGAGCGAACTCTGCGTTCGCCGCCGCGGCTGGTTGCATATCGTGGAATCGCGAGTGGAACGTGTTGACAGCATTTCGGCGTCGATTACGCTGTTCGGCAGCGCGTTTGCGTGACTGAATTTGGGCCGCATCTTCACATTTCCAGTGCAACAGCCGGAGCGCGCGTGAACCCGACGGTTGGCACTTCATTCCCGGCGGCCAGGAACACGACTGACCAGGTTTGTTCAGGCAAACACCACGACGAATCCAACGGGGCCAGAATAGGGAACCCAAATCTTCCCAGATAAATTCCATCTCACATGTGGCTTTCTCAATCAGCCATGCACGAAATAGTTTAATTTGCGGTTCTGATAATGTGAACGCCTCACCGGAATCGTGTCGGAGAGTAAAATTTAAATTGTACGCCTCATTGATCAGTTTCACGTCTACCGGTGAAGCGGCTGTACTCCCGTCCGGGGCCAGACCACCAGTCCCGGCTACACCTCGTTGTCGGAGTACTCGGGGAGCCGTTTCCGAAGTCCATTCGCGATCCAGGCTACCCGCGAGAATTTTACGCAATTTACGTACTTTATAAGGGGACACGTCCGGGGTCAAATGGTTGATCACACGAGGATCTATCGATTGACCCATAACGCGAACGTTAACATCCTCGAAACGAGTGGGCTGTTTGGAAGATGAGGAACCTGCGGTTACACTGTGGTCTGACCAGCCGAGTCCCACCCCTGTTGACTTTTCTGGGGGCCGAGGCGAATGAGCGGATCTAGATTCCATCTTCGTCAGAGCCCCCAGACTGATACGATTTTGTGCGGTCGACGCGAGACCCAAACCTCCCACGTGAAACGGAATTTCCGGACTGCTCCCGAGGGCTGAATGATTCGAGCCGAGTGATGCTCTGACTCCGCCGGAATTTCCGCTCACCTCGTTCGATCCGATCTTGTCACTTGAGGCACCAAGTCGTGTCATTTGAATCTGTACTTTGTCGTGTGTATAAATTCCGGACACGGGAACGGATAGACCACGATGAGGACCACCATGATTTGGTTGCCCTTCAATACCATAAATTCCCGGCAAGAATAGATCCGAAAATGAGACGATATAAAAAATGAACAGAATCACACAATAATCAGACCGGTACACACGATTGGGCATGGCATGAAACTTTCTCTTCCAGATAGAGCACAAACGTCACACAGGATCGGTCATCTACTCTGCACACGAGCACACGAAAATGTATACATCCGACTGAATACCGGTCTGCCCACGACCGAAGATTAATCTTTGAGTCAGATTCACTCAGAACTGTTGAAGCGTGAAACCGATGGATAAATAGTTCCACTTGTTCAAAACTGTGTATTACTTGGTCTTTTATCAATAGAGAGATGACCAGTTTACATGGAGCGAGTGAGGCTCGATTTTAATTGACTCGCGTCCGTGACCGCTGAATGTGTTTCGAAGATTGCAGTACAAGAATGAACACCTCGAACCCCACATTCTGTCTGTGAACTACTCCTGTCCGTCTATCCATCTTCTAGCACTATGCGGCCGGGTCGCTATCCACCAACTGTTAAGCCTTGATGTCACACACACACGTACACACAGACGCACGCACGCCCAAATGCGCACACGTACACGACCACACCCCGCGTGTAGCAAATGCACTACGTGCGCACCATAGCGCGTATTGCTTTGCCTTGTCCAATCAGAAGTGCGATGGACTCACCGTGCTGTCCGTCGATGTGGGTGGGGATGAGTGGATCTGGACGAGGTCAAAATGAGTGATTTTTCTTGAATTCTTGAATTTCCATATAGCATTGGACGGGGTGGTTAGCTAGACGAGCTCACATTCAACCGGACTCGATCCACACGAAACCGGATATTTGGGTTGGAGGCAAAATTCAACAATCGCGAACAGATATATGCCGAACCCCAGGGACCAGCGATAGTCTTTCTCTACTAAGTGGTACAACGTGTTTGTAAAAACTGCACTCATCCTGACAGGTCAGCTCCACAAAAGATTCGAGATCATATGAACACTTGGTTCGAGTTTATTATCTGTTGTAGAGATCTTTAAATTAAAAATTGTGGTTCAGTTGAGTCAACTATTGTCGGGGAGGACGTTTACAAACGGGATCGGGTACTGTGAGTAAATACAGCCTGAGGACCTGCTGTTTGACAAGGATTTGCCCAAAAACTGATCAACAGCATTACAAAGTTTGCATGAGTCGAATAGAAAA